GTGGGGGGGGGGGGGGGGGGGGGGGGGGGGGGGGGGGGGGGGGGGGGGGGTCAGGGGGTTTAACCCCCGCCCCCTTCGATTTCTGAAAAAATCGCACCAATGGTCCCATCATGAAATTAGATATTTGACTAGCTGAATCATAGTTTTAAACCATACCAGACGGCACTGTTCGCCCTCTTAAATACCATACCCCACGCAAATAGGCCTAATCCTGGATACGCCCCTGCAGAGGGATACTTGGCATTACGTACAACTGATTTTGATCGCACTTTTGACACTGTTTCCTAATGCTTCACCCTACTAATGCTCTCCCCGCTTTATTTACTCCAAATATTGAATCAATAATGTTTTCAGATATTATTTCGAAAATCTGTTAAAACTTTTGAAGGTGATCACACATTCTAATCAGGCACAACTTTGTTACATTTTGATGCAAAAAATGTGCTATAAATCTAGCACAGGCGTTTTTTCTTTCGGACGATTCTTTTAAAGAAACACTATAACTGCATTACTGTAATACAGGCACTGGTTTTATTCAAAACCAACAGCATGTAATATAAGTACCCAAATAACATTATGTCCAGTTATATTTGAATATTTTCACCCAGCCGTCCCTCTGTCCACAGACAAGGCCGCCATTAGAAGTCGTAGAGAGGGCAACCGGTGTCTGGAGATTTTCCTTAACGGTCAGAAACTGACCTAGACTGGCCCCAGACGGAGACAGGCGATGAATGCAGTTGCTTTCCATATCGGCCACGAACACAAAACCATCCGCGTCGACGCATACGCCGTCCACACCGTACGGTCTCTCGGGTTGCGGATATTCTTCACGCCTGTTGTATACAAAAAGCGGCTCTCCGCTCTCGTTTTGATACGAGCGCACCACACTGTCATTTGGATCCGAGATTATCACACGGCCACTGTTCGATATTGCTATAAACGGCGCAAAAGAAAACTGGCATCTCATTTTGTAAACGAATGACCATAAAAGGGACCCCTGCTTGTCGTAACATTTTACGTCACTCGAGGTGCCCATGCTTAAGACTACTATTAAGGAGATTCCGTCCGTTGCCATGGCAACCGGTGCTACGCAGGGGAAGGAAAACCTGGCATATCCATTGACTGGATGTATTTGGATTTCTTGCGTCCGTTTGCACCAGACGGAGGTGACGATTGTCCCGTCTCGAAAATGGCCGATACCTGTCAGACCCCTCACAGTCAATTCTCGACGTTTTCTCCCGTATTTGTCGCACACGATGACACGCCCAAGTACGCTGTCACTTCCGCCACCCCTTGTGCCTAATGCCAAGTCCCCTGTCGCCATCGCGTCCAGGTAAACCAGACACTCGTCCTGCTTAGAGAAAGGCACTTTGAATTCGCGAAGTAATTTGGGTGATAGGGAAATTGTTCCGAACGCTTTTTCAAGAAAAAATGAAGCACTGGGGCTGCATCGTAAATATAACTCCGGGCTCGGTTCTTCTAGAGTGGACATGTGCTTTTCAGATTTGTCTAGTTTGGACAAAATATCCTGCTTGTTTAAAAGTAGTTGAATATCTGAATATGAGTCGATGATTTCGGAAAATGCATCTAGCTGAGGCCCGTTTGTTGTGTTTTTCAACGACTCGGTGCGTTTCAGTTGCGCCGATTGGATTTCTGTCCCCTTTTTGCATACACTTTTTGCAACGTCTCGCAGCAAAAGAGAGAGTTCCTCGACTCTTTTCTCAACCTGTATTTCAGCTAGTTTTGTACTTTCTTCCAATTTATTTATCACATCTGTCTGTTTAGTGTCATTGTCCTTGGCAGACGACGCTGCAGATGGCGAAGCTTTCAGCACGCTCATCCTTTGCGCGATCGACATTCTGAGTTCACTTGCCGCCTTGTTGATTTCAACGCAACTGTGATCTAAATGGTCAGAAAGCTTACACATAAGGCAGATTAACTGCCCACACTCGACACAGTAGAGTTTGCATTTTTCGTTAACGTGGTCAGTGCAACTGGTCATCTCCCTTTCTTCTTTAGCGCCCTGCAGCGTGTCCGGCGGGGCCTCTCCGATGAGATAGAGTTTGTGGTCTTTGCTTAGTTTCATTCCTCGGTGGCAGAGGGCGCATCGCTTGCACATACTCTCGTTGCATTCTACACACGTTTCCTTCGCCAGTTCTCGTCTGCCCACCGAGTCACATGGATCGCAGTAAGCTATTGCTAGAAAAAATTGAATGACATTCGTAGAATAGCGGATGATGAACTTAAAGCATTTGGAAAAGTAAAAATTTTAGGTACATCAAGAGGCACATCGTCTTAAGGGCAAAGGGACAGATTTTTTAGTATCAAAATAAACCAAGTCCCTATTTGTCGCTGACTATTTCATAACTTTAAATTACCAAATTAAAAATCAAAAAGAAAAAGAATCCGAGAAGAAGAAGAAAAAAAGAAAGAGAAAAGAAGAGAGCGATAAAGAAGATAACACATACTAAACAAAAAATGACACATGTTGCTTAACCAACGTAAATCTTATACATAAATGTCTTTTAAATAGAAAAAATCGACATACTTAATTTATCGCCACACAAGTCCTCGGCACTGACACTAGTAGCACGTAAACATGCTGATAGATGGGGCTGGTGCTCGTCTAAAGCCCTAAGAAATTGGTGAAAAGAGTCCTTGTGGTCTCCAACCATGATTATCTCCACTAATTTCCTGACCCGATCACCCCTGGTCACTTCGGCTTCGATTCTTTCAACATCGTCTGTTTCCAGAATACCATTTTGATACAGCAAATCCAAAATCCCAAGTTTCGGGTCTAGCATATCTTCTCGCAGACTCGCAAATCGTTTGCGCAATATCGCCCTCTGCCGTGGCTCCATAATGGTCTTCTGCTGGTTAATTCTTGCCTGAAAATATCAATTTGACGATCAATTAAACGACAAGTTGCGGCCGGGGACATTTATCTTCACCCGTTGAATGATATTCATCCGCTTTCTTGTTCATAATTAAGGACGACTAACGAACCGAAAAGATAAAACAATATATTAAATACAGATAGCCGCATCTCTGCATGACGCCGGATCTATGGACCGTTTTGCGAGGAAAACGGGAAGAAAATGTGGCAAGACAAAGGTCTTTATGCCTAGAGTATTAATAAAGACTGTAAGTTTGCCCCTATTCAAACATACCGTGTTACATCAAAATTTACTTGTACTTGAATACACAAAAATGATATCAATTCAGCACACGCGTAATTTCGCTTTTTTGATTTTATAAAAGAAAAGAAAAAAGAAAGAAAAAAAGAAAAACGCACAGCTTATTTGAGAAATATTTTAACCGACAAACTTATCAAATACTGAAAACAATCACATTTGCTGATCCCATCTCAATATTGGGATAAATATATCCATCATCAAAGAAGTTGACAATTTTATTGTTGATAACGCGTATTCTTTTTGTCTGTTGACTGTTGGGGGGGGGGGGGGGAGGGGAACCGCAAGCGACCTGAGAGGACTTGTTTGGGAATCCAACTAGGCACGCTGACGAGAATGTAACACGCACTTTGAAATAATTCACTGTCAAATAGGTGAAAAACAATAAAAAACAAAGATCATTGATATTATCTGCATCAAATTACAAAATCCCGCGATCGTTTGACGCACGAGCCAGGCCAATTGACGCACGTCCGGTGTCTGAGCCCTGGGCTCGGGGATTCCCCTACCTCCCCGAGTGCTTGACCAGTGAGTTGCTGCTGCTGGTGGTGGTGCAATAACTCAACCCTGTGACTAATGTGGTAGTCTTACTAACTTCAATACTCAAAATTATTATTACGCAACGACCAAGGGCACAGCGATAGGGTACGTGCACATGATTACATGATAAATACCACGCAGTGCCAAACAATTTAGGCTGTCGCGCGCGCGAGTGTGTATGTGTGTGTGTGTTGGAGAGAGAGAGAGAGAGGAAGAAAGATGCGCTCTGTTTATTCTATAATGACATGCATCCCGCATTAAAAGAAGTGCCCATGACATTCGCGGCAGCGATAATTTCAATGCGTGTATCGTTGTTTTGATGCATAGACAGTGTAACTGTATCCTGTCACTACCTGGACGTATGTTTTACAAAGCAAACATACATTGGGCATAATATAATACTGTTATGAATGAAAATAAATAAACGTGAACGTAAAGCCGATAAATAGGTAACCTTTTATGAGCAACTGGTTTCAAATAATCGGAATACTTTCATCACCTGTGTTTATCAGTAGGATAATTTTAATCATGCAGCGTGTTTCTGAAAGGGTCAGCTATATTTGCATTCTGTTAATGTTAGTCTCCATTGACTGGCGAAAGTGTATCTATTAATTGCAAAATAATTCAGAAACAAAGTCCAGTATATATACGGCTAGGTAAGATACAGGAATAACGTGACTTAACCTATGGTATTTACCTGAATATATGGAGCTGTTCACTTTGTGCATACAGGGAAACACTTCGGCCATGTGTATATTCACCATGCAGTCACAGTACGGCTAGTGCAATACAGAGGTAAGTCTACATTGGTAACTCACGCCTGTGTGGCTTTGGTGCACCTTGGGTGAACCTGTATCTTGGTCTTGTAAGTCACAATCATTAATGAGCAGTGCTGTTTAACTAGGTATATAAACTGGTACTGTCCGTACTGTACGCTAATGTGTCGTAGATCTACGGTCAACAGATGGCCAGTATAGCCTGATATAGTGACCTTTCCTGTGGTCAGCAGGTCACTTCATACTCTCCACTGTTAATGTACACGGGATGGCTTTCTCTGGGGAATGTCCTTCCACCGTAAAATATTCACCAAGCTATTTGTCCCCAGTTCTCTCTGGCGAGTTGTAAAACGCAAACAAGCCTTATCAATCAGCATATGTACAGGTTGCAACAGCCTATACGGCCTAAACACGCCCCTGTGTGCCTGTGCGGTAACAGACAAATAGCATGAGCACTATGTTTTGCTTGGGTATGACTCAATACTCCACTTGACGCTATGATAAAGATGCTTTGTCATCCGAGCCACATATATTGTCGAGTTCACATTATCGGCCGGACTTGGGCTGATATGTCGAAACTGGGGAAATCTGTCATTTCGACCGAGAGGGTGAAACGCGGGTACGTTATCAGCGTGATAGCTTTCCGCAAAGCGTATGGTCCCATTTCCACTGCCTTACTACAATTAATGCAACGCAGTTGGAAGAAATGCCTTTCAAACCACAATGACGCGGCTGAACGACCACATTCACATTAGTGAAGGGGAAAATGTTATGACGCTTTTCTTTTTTTGTATGAATTTGAATTTAGTTTCAATAGAAAATGGATGTTTTAAACCCGGTATGAAAGCGAGCTAATTATTGTATTATATGTCGCCTTTATTCGAAGCTAGCTCGGTTGTGAAAAGTCAACTGAGTCGTAGGGGTCAGGCTGTCACCTTGTCACCTGTCATATTTACATGTGCGTAACAAAACAGACCATTGCGCCACCTTTGTCATTATTTTAATATCATTAATGATAATCTATCATACATAAAACGTTTATGGATATTTTGGTATGGTCAGGTTGTTTGAGGAAAATAATATAGGCCAACATGTACGTAGTATTTGTATTACTTATTATGCTAATGAATACTCCTGCCCCCCCCCCCCTCCCTCACAACCCCCGAAAAATCTTTGCAAGTGGTGCTTCTTCTTACATATGCATCCTGTCGTACATCCATGTTTTCAATATTCTCTGTCTGAAACACGCGTACGCTTAAAGAGACCGGATATTGAGTGTGTGTGTTTGCGTACGTGCATGCGAGTGCGCGTGGCAAAGGTTGAAAGAGAGAAGTCCAATTTTTTCCGTTGTGGAAACTTATTTTTTTGACGGCCCAACGGCGTTTGCGTTCAACCTAGCGCGTCTACATCTTTACTATGTGATCATCTTCGTTATTCTTATGTGAAAATAGTTTCATTGGATCTTAGTGTTTCGATAGTCAGAAAGTTTTCTTTTATGATAGATCCAGAAATTTGATTTACCTGTTGACTGTTTCGTCTGTTCGTTTTTTTTTTTTTTTTTTTTTTTTTTTCGAAAAACAAATAAATGACTAACCTAGAAGTATGCCCGACGGGTGAAATCAACAGCAACTCTATTTTTGACAGGTATTGTTTTTGTTTGTGAATCAATCTAGACGACACCACTACTTTTTGTTAATCTAAAGTAATACAAACCCCTTTCCATCCTCAGGCTTATGGGGTGTTTGGACGCTCACAGATAGACATAAAGCCACTAATATCACGTACACATAGTTTTTAAATAATTCAGTTATGCTTAAACACTGTAAACTTGATTTATTTTTCCCGGGGGTCCAATTGCACAGCTTACGATTGCAGTATGCAGTTTGAATGCACAAACAGTTCTCCCAAGTTTGAGAAAAGAGTGCAAAAGAACAAAAACATGCTCAATATTGAGCGGTTGAAATGGTTTCGCAAATAACTTTAGATCGAAACTTGAGCTTGACAATCATACCGAAATTGTGTTCCATTTTCTTTTAGGGTTAACAGTCAATAGCCCTCCTAAATATACAGTGTTGTAACTATTATATGTTTTAATATATAACATATAATAGTTTCAATACTGTATATTATTATATGCTATGAATCAGGCGCAGGGTTCCTTTCGATTAGCCGGCAGTAAATGCTCCGTGGTATCACCCAAGGGCCAAAATAAGGTGTGACAAAATCAACGTCATCTCGTTACCGGGGCGAACTCCGCATCTAAAAGTGCATTCCCATAGATTAAGATCGATCCATCTAGATCGACCCAGCTCCCTGGGGGTTCAGGCTAAATTGATGTCAGCCGAGCGCGCACGGTAGTTAATTACCCTCTTTCAGCTTTTAGTAGGCGGGACAGACGCTTAAGCCGGCTAAGCTGACAGTAATCTAGTGAGACTCCCCACAGGGATAGATCGATCTAAAATCTGTGGGAATGGGGTCTAAAACGACAGCGCCAGGATCCTTTACATACACCAGTTTCCCTTGCATTTTTGCACTTGTCCAAGATGGTATAACAACAGCAAGATAATATTTCTTTTGTTTATGAATCTCGTTGATCTTGCACTTTCTCGGCGGTTCGTGCCTTGTGGAACATAAACGGACTGGGATAGTGTACTCTTTCAGGGACGGATCCAGAGAAATTTTCTTACAGTCTTCCAAACGATCTTTGTTCTGATCCACTCTCTATTTTTGACCGTCTTCCGACAGAAAAAAGTTAGATACTCGTCAATGTAAATTTGAAAATCTGACCGTCTTCCAGAAGACCCAGAAGACGGCAGCAATCCACTCCTGTTTTTTTTTTTCGTTTTCCTACTTTTTTTACGAGTTTTTAACCGCGTTGTCGGAAAGGGAATAATTACGACTTAGAACCCGAAATGTCAAAATGCTATTTAATTAGAAAAAACGCTTGAATGTTTTTGTAATTGGCTAACCTTACACTCTTTGTCAATTTTTACAGAGCTCTGTGTTTACATGATAGTAATTTAAACTTGAAGGGACAAACGCTGTGTCCATATGTGTTTGACAAAACCAGGTACTAAAGAGAATCGGAAGGATAGTTTCTACACCCCCCCCCACCCGTCAATAAATTTATATCATAAATGTATGCATGGTAACTAATTAGAAAATAATATATGTGCAAGAAGCAACTGATATTTATAATTTTTTACGGTATCCTATTATAAAAATTTTATTATTTTTTATCTATTTATTTACCTAGTTTTTTTAATTAAAATTTATGTTGTGATTATTTGTCTATTTGGATTGGTGCAGGTGAGAAAGCCCGAAGCACAGCTAACAGATTTCACAAAAAATATGCAGGGTCAAGGTCACGTATATTCCACATTTAGTTTTAATATTGCATGTTTAGATCTGCAAGAACGACGCAAAATTCATCTCAACGTGTACTGAGGAAGTGTTGAGGCACAGTCAACGAACACTGCTGATATTTCATGTGAAATTGTGAAGGCCTGTGTACACATATCTAGACTGGCGCAGGAAAGAGCCACAGTGACGGTCTGATTTGATCCGACTTCCCCGACTGCAGGTAACAGTATGCATTCACTGAACATGTATTTGCTCTCTCTGTGCTATCGTTGCCATCATTGTCAATCAGGAAGCAACTAGTGGATCCTTTTTGCCAAAGCAATGAAGGGGAACTGGGGCGTAGGGACGTACAGTACATTAGTCACATTTCAAAATGTATTCAATGGAAACTCTAATGCAGTCGAAATTAACCTAAAACTCTTATCAGCCGTCTTATATGTCGAACTGTTCTTATTTGAAGCCCATAAACTAAAGCAGGCATTCCACGGAACAGATGTATTTCAGACAAATATTGACTCAACTTCTAGTCATCATGATGTGGTGGTGAGATCGGTAAGATACAAGGTCGCCGTGGAATGCTGATAAATTATGTTAATTTTTGTTGCCATGGTATACATTTCTTCCTGGCGTTCACTTATGCGAGTGTGTGTGTGTGTGTGTGTGTGCGCGCGTGCAGTTCGCGTGGAGCTCATCCACGTAAGGCTTACATTACGTTCTACTGTCGAGATACAACGCTTCATTTCATGGTATTTTAGGGCAGCTTGTTCTCTCCTTATGAATGACAGTTTTTGTACGAATTGACTGCAATTCACTGGCAGATCTGGGAATATGAAATGTGGTAGTAGAATGATCGCAAAAGCTCTTTGTTGCAATCAGACGGACCTTTTGGAGAGCCAAGGAGGAACACCCCCACCCCACCTCACCATCCCCTTTTTATTAAGAACAAGCCAATTCATTTTTTCGATATATTTTTTTTAATGTAGGACGAACCCCACTGATATTCATAAGAATCATGTTTACTGTCTATATGAAAAAAACCGAAGGTTTGAAAAATAACATGGAAATTTCCATTGAAAGTTTATCTTATTTTTAATTTTATATGTAATCTCACCAAAACGCGTGAATTTACTGCACGATTGAGGTCACGACTTCCTCCCAGTTGCCAAGTTTCAATCAGAGCCGGTATTGATACGAAATTTTCTGGCGATGGGGGTTAAAAATTGCCCTATTAACGTATTAAATAAAATGAGTTTTCAAAATGTCAATTTCATTTTTGAGAAGGGAATTTTAAAGAGGAAAACTATTACAGTTTAACTTTTTATTTTCTTTTTAGGCCTGACGAACATCAAAACTGTCGAGCTACATTACCGGGTAGCCAACCAAAATGTTCAGATGGTTCTGGCCAAGGCAGGAGGAGCCACCAGAGGGTGCTTTACGCAAGCTGGGCTGGGGGGAAAGCCTATTTATTGGATTTAGCAAAATCTTCAAGGGTGGCCATTTAAAATTTACCCTATTCATGAAAACCAAGGTTGACATCACTCATGAAACCATGTACAAGGCTTTAGTTCAGGCGGCTCGGAGACACCCTCTTCTAAAATCTAGGATCAGTTACAAAGACGGGAAGTACTACTATGTTCCTATGTTAAACTGGGAAAGTAACCTGGAGTTGGAGACAACTGTAAGTGACGACTGGCAGGAAGCTTCTGCCAAAGGGTTTCGTAGAGGTTTTAACGACGAAATCGGACCTTTATGGCATGCTTACTTGGTCGAAATAACAAGAAAGGGACAACAGGACGATGACAGCGCCGATGCCAAACACCCCGAGACAAAGAGCTACGCCCTTGTCCTTATGTTCAATCATGCCATAATAGACGGGAAAAGCGCGGCCGTAGTTTTGAACGACATTGTTCAAAGTTTGAACTCGATAATTGATAATGTTCACAACTACAGCGCCGAGGAAGAGCTGAAAGTTGCCCCACCCCTTGAGAACGCCTTGCTTCCCGGAGTGCGTCCTGGCATATGGGATTATGTGAAAATATTCAAATTCCTACGTCAGTTCTTGTCAGCAGCTAAAAATCCGTACACTGAGCTTTATCCAGCACGTATTCTTAGAGAACCCGATGTTGACAACGATATAACTAAGATTATTGATTTCTCTGTACCTATAGACCCCCTTCTCCAGCGATGTCGGGCTGAGAAAGTCACCATTCAAGCGGCAGTGACGGCAGCTTCGTGTTTGGCCATGCTTGATCTGCTGCGTAAGAAAGCCCCAGAGACGGAGAGACTACCCGCGCCATCGAGTTACGTGGTAGATTTTCGACGATTCTGCGAGCCAGTAATAGAACCTCAGTTCATGGGGTTTTATGCCATATCAAACACCATGCCGCCACTCAATGTTACAGGAAGTGTTACAGACAGCAAGGCATTCTGGGACATTGCCAGAGAAGCGTCTGCTGAAATACGCCGATACATTTCAAATCCCAAGGAACCAATAAAAACATTCCGCGTGATGACCCAACTTCTTAACTTTGAATCCCTTGGCAAGAAAATGAATGAAGCTAAGGATACTGGGTTGCGTAACGGAGAAGCTTTTGGTATTTCGAACATTGGTGACATTGAACCCTTATTTCCCGCTGGAAGAGAGGGTGCCACTGTAGAAGCAACGAAGGTATTATGGGCTACAAATGGCGCCATGTTTTGTTCCCCCTTCTATCATTATTTGTTGTCCATGAGGGGTTTTCTGGTTTGGAGCCTCAACTGGTATCCGAATATTTCCACGGAAGAGGAAGCAATGGCGTATGCAGAGAAAATTCAGGAAGCACTGAAGAGTGCTGTCGACTGATATTCCGTAGTTGCAACTTTAAAACATTAACGCTCGATTCATAGAAATGATGGATCTCCTCATTTTAATGTTGTACAAAAAGTATTAAGACGCATTAAAGAAAGAGGTTGCCTGATATTAGAACTGTTGGATAACATACAACTTACAGTAGGCCTATGTCTTATTTTATGCAAGGATGTATATATACAGTATATATATGTATGTAAGTGTGAAGAGGCATTGTAAAACGCTACGTCCTGATATCATTTACAGTCACCAAAAGACTTTAAAAATTATACCCTTTGTGTGTGAAACTGATATGCATATATAAACATGTATAATATATACCCGTAGGCCTACGTGTTTTAAAGAAACTACTTCCCATTGCTGTTACAGTGTATTACGAAGGCTAGATTTGTTAGGTGATTATGTACCTTTTCCATGCTTGCAGGATGTCCCAAGCTTATCATTAATTTATAAACCTTTGTAGTAAGAAGATGAGTTTCACTCTGAGTTTCCTCGTTCACTTTTCCGTGTTCCGTCGTCAAACTGACTGTTAAACTGATAGCCCGTAGGCCAGTATAGTCTATACTTCCCCCCTTTAGCTAATTTCATTCATGTGCTTCATGTGCTTTTCTGATAGTTTAGCCCTTTGTCTGAGGTGGATAAAGAGTAAGTAGTGCTGGTCACTGATACTGGTATTGCTCATTAAAATGTAGTGTATAATTTCTAATGTGATTTCTGTAAAGTTGCGAATGATTTGAATTATTTCTTATTGGAAGTGTAGAATGTGGATAATTACGTAGAGTAGCCCCTAAAGCCGATGTAGTTATGATCCATATATTTCTATTGAAGATTTAACCTCTTTAAAGCCAGTTTGGACCTTTTTGATTGCCTAAAATAAAAAAAGTGGGAAATGACTTGGGATTCATTGATGTACGTGTTCTGTCCTCTAAAGGTCAGGTGTAAACATATTTTAAAATAATTTAAAATATGTTACTCCAAATAACTAAATGCGTTTGCAAATTTCTCTTTGATAAAATTTGAATTAAAGTATTGTTTAAAACAATTCTTGAGGTATTTTCGTAAAGCTGAATACACAAACTCAGAAGAAAGCATTAGTGGACAAGTATGCGTACGCGTATTCCCATAAAAAGGAGCAAAACCTTGCCGATGCTGGTAGTAATTATTCTGTTCGCGGTTTTTGCTTATCAACACGCCTTTGTTACGAAGAGAAAAAGTTGTCAAAATTCAGATGTGACAAACGCATCAAAGGATACTATTCATGAAGATATGAAGCAGAAGAATAGGAAGCCAGAGTCTGAAAGTTGTGCACCTGATTACCCTATCCATCTCCATCCCCTTCTCTCTCTCTCTCTCTCTCTCTCTCTCTGTGTGTGTGTGTGTGTGTGTGTGTGTGTGCGTGTGTGTGTTGGTGAATTTTCCGTGCATGCGGAAATATGGTAGCATTTGCTCATCGACGCTCTCCATTTGCACTTGTAGTCTGCGGCGGTGGCCAATTGTGCTAGTTGAGACACACTGGTTGTGATCACCGGTTTTTCTGGCAATTTGTTGTCACCCGAATGTGATCCAGAACGCAACAAAACAATTTTTGTGCTGTGCATTTTTCTATAGATATCACCAAATCTGCTCTTATGAATCACGCTTTTTGACGGGAGTTGGTTTTAGTTTACCCCTCTTGCAGCATGTTAATTGTGGGTGGTGACTTATGCAACTTGCAAAATTACCTCGTGAGTCGTGAAAGGATAGACATAATAGGCATGGAACAAAAGGTCTCATATTGGCAACTTGAGCCTTGATCCTGCGATTTAACATGACAATACACCAAAGATAACAAATATTCCCCAGACTAGTTATATCAGCGATTTGCAGATAAGTGGTTTTGCCTTAGTAATTTTTCATTGATTGTAAAATTTCTTTTAAGTTTACTTTAAAATTAGATCACGTGACCACGTCAACCGCGCGTCCCTTGAAACCTGCAAGCTGGCAATGCAGTAATAAAATAGTCTGTGCTATTTCCACTCACAATGACAAAAGCATGTTCACAAATAGAATGAATCAGATGAAAGCGCTTGCAGTCCTGTGAAGGCGTTTATGTGTTGTGACCTCGACCAGGGTTCAGGGAAAGCAACGTGAACATCATGACCACCTGAAAGAGCTGCAATTGGTTTACGATGACAGACAAATGAAATATTAACCCAGTAATGTGGCTGTCGTTTTTTGTCATTACTAGGAGACGCGCATTGACGAAAAACGTGATCAAGTAAAGATTCAACAGTGAAAACCCGCACAATATGCAACAATGGATGGAGCACAAAGACATCTTGGTAAGTGAATTGTTTTATAGTCGCTTCATTTCAGCTGATGGTAATGATCGTCTATTACTGGTGCGGTATATCCTGGCGCTTCTTTTAAACCATATTGTCTGGCAATTTTTATCTTCTTTAATTTTGGGTATTTTCATCGCAGTATCTTTACTTAGTACTATACTTTTGTGTATTTCTTTTCCTTTTCGTATCGACCAGGATTAATAAGTCATAGTTATTATCTCTTTCTCTTAATTATGTACATGCTCATTTGGATAGGCCGAGGTACAAATGAACTTCGATCATTCAATAAACCAAACAGACTGGACTAGACAAGTTATATCAGTTCCTTTGAGCTTCAATAAAGAGGCATCAAAGGTAACGGATAGATTTATCGTCTTTGCGCAACCAGCGTGATGCGTACCTGAACGACACAGACGAGTGTCTACATATCTTGTAATACATGTGCACGCCGTCTTATGAGAACATTTCTGTTGCATAACAAACATGGTGCTATTCGTATTTTATCTGATGAGTTGAGTTCCTCCACTGAGGATGATTTTCCTGTATTTTATGATCTACTTTTCGTACATTCCGTATTGTGGTCATTTTATCTTGCTGCAGGCGCACTGGGTGCGTATCCCTTAACGGTGGCAAGCTTAAATCACAAACAAACAATTACTAACCAGAAAAACTAGTCATGGTTGTTTAACTAAAAAACTTTTTTTTTCTTTTTTTTTTTTTTTTTTTTTGCTTTTTTTTAATTTTTGATGGCGCAAATATTTTTTTGAGATTCTTTCGTTCACCAATGATTGTTATTAGGCCAATCAAAATAGCTGAAAAAATATAGTGGTTGACTGAAAATTTAAAATTCATTTTGAGTGGTAGGAATGTCTTTTTCAAAACGCCATAATAACGAATGTTGTTTTTTATACACAGTGTGTTTAGTTCAATACGAAGTTTTCTGTAAAAGCAAAAAGTCCCATGAAGTGTATAAAAGTGAACAAACACATATGTACAGATAAGTCCAATTCTTTCATTTTCCAATACAGTACAACTGATGCACGTGGCATACTTAAAAGACATTTTTTTGCGGTAAGTTTCAAAATGTGCACATCCGGAGTCAAAATATATACTTTTAACATTAAATCTATAAATAAAACTTTGACACAGTCATTTTTAGACATAACCTTTACTTGGCAATTTTTACACGAAAACTTATATCATGACCGGAAGAAGATAATTGCCAACCATAGCAAAGTAAATCTTATTCCACACTATCATAATGCCATTATGCTAACAGTACAATTTACAGACTACCTGTAGCGGCATCAAGAACAACAATTTCCAGTTTCTGAAAATCATGTTGAGATGACAGTCGCCTTGTATTTTAACAATGACCAAATTTGCCTGCGATTATCCCTGATAATCTCACGCCAACATTCTCTCCCTTTGGTGTGTAACGTTAAAATACAGAACCTTTGTGGCAATATTCAAGAAACCTCATGGAATTTGTTTTGATCTCTTTGTCGATTATGTCTTGATATGAGGACATGTCTAACTCCAAATGGCGACCTTTGACCTTTGATAATAAGATTGGTTAAAATGTATCATTGTTTTTACCAAGATGATGATACCACAAAACTATATAGCAGGGATTTGCCCAATGCATTTTAAAAGATGTCTCAAATTGAAGCAAATCTTCAGCCATGAGGATGATATACATGTATATTACGACTGGCCAGGTTGATCTTTCTTCACTTTGTCATGCCATGTCTCCAACATCTGTTTCTCTTTCTTTAATGTCCCTCGTTAATTACCGTAAACGGTCAGTTTTAAGGAAACGCGCTCTGGTCTTTCCTCACATAATTTTTGGATGGATGCAATTACATAATCTTAATGTGATATATGTGTGATTGCATCATGTCTTCAAGCATTTGTGTATTTGATCTTTAAGGGATCCACTACAAGTCCAAATTAACACGTGGCAAGATTAAGTGTCGGTCCAATAAGTATTAATAGTTTTGCTTTATTTTGTTTCTTAGTAATTAACTTGATGCTGCAGTCAGTGATTACTCAGTGACCAGGATTAGATCGCATAATTTTCAGTTGATTTTGTTTTTTTAAATATGTTCCGTGAGTGCAATTTTTTCAGTCTAAACGAGCGTAGTTAGTTTGTTCTTTCTTGCGTAGAACTCCGCTATAGACTAACATGTATACGTAATGCGATAACCTACATTTCTTGTCTAAGGGATTTTTTTTGTCGCGCATTGGCTTTTCACCTATGTGGTGGGCATTAGCTACAAGGTACCATGCATATTTAACACTGTATACTATTATATTATTTCCCATAAGTTCAATTTGTGCTATACTTATACCTGTTAATCTATAATCTATCTTCCTCAATGTCTTTGCAATTTCACTTCCTTATTGGAATAATTCGTGTTGCACTACACACGTGTTTATATTATAATATCTTATTTAGCCTTTTGATAAATATTGTAAATTCCATCGCCGGTCTGCTTCTTGTTTTCCTTCTTTTCCTCTTTAGTACATGTTAACCAGGAAAATCATAAATTAGATTTTAATGGGTAATTAATACAAATTATCATTTGCTATTTTTGAAAACTTATAATACGATAATTATAAAAAAAGTCCTTGTGCTTTCAACAGCTATTGTTCGGAGGTATTTAGAAAATGCAGATAAATCATGCGTTTCATATTCAGGTTTTCATATTTTTCTACTGACTATTCTCTCTTTTTCTGTCTGATCAACTGGACTCTTTCATGTTTGACCAGAGCAGAGACGAACATCTGTTATTATACTCTGATAATTTTATTACCGACTCTTTTTGTGGACGTCTTGGTAAATATACGTGCATAGAAATATAAATATCGATATTTTCAGACTGAAATAAAATTGCAATAATTCTGATGGGAAATTTCATCATGTCATCCTCACAAATAACCCTAGCAAACTTTTAATTGTATAATTAAGTGCAGCTCTGTAAATATGTCTCATTGTGCAGTTAACGATAAACTTACTTCTGAATTTTTCACTGTCATACAGTGTATCAAAGATATGATTTAGATAGTTACATTAAGTATTTACACACCTTAACAACTAACACGTGACAATTATAGGACAAAATGAGAAACGGTGTATTCATTCATGCATCCATTTATCATATAGCCAAATAAATCAAATAAACACAAAAATGTCACAAATACATACATTAGATAACTAGTCGTGGATAGCAAAATGATAATTTCTCATAAAGTCAGTTAAGCTGTATTTTTCAAAATTCTCAACTGAGTGTACAGTGACAGAGAGAACTTACATGTATATCAGCCAATGGAGTGCACTGTAGCAGTAGTAGTATGGATTATTCATTCGTATTGAAGGCTACGTGTATGCAGTGCAATGTTGAGTAGCCTTCTCAACAACTACTCAGATGAACTTACATGTTCAAAGTCAGTTATACGTAGTTTTTTTATCTATATCCGTATTTTTTGGCTCCTTTATCTCAAATTATCGAAAACATTCACACTATCAAGTGAACAATATCGATGGAAATATCGATAT